TATTGAAGGCTGCAGTCCTTGACCTTCTACAGCAAGCACCTCAGGTCCTCCTCAGTTTCAGCAAGCAGGATTGTGTCATTTGCATAACGCAGATTATTGATGAATCTTCATCAATCCTGACGCGCCACACATCTCACATAGCCCAACCTCCCAGATAATCTCTTCTGCATACAGGTTGAAAATGTATAGAGATAAGACACATCCCTGGTGTATATCCTTCCCAATTTTAAACCATGCAGGGTTTCCTTGCTCTCTTTTGACGACTGCCTCCTGATCCAAATATAGATTTCTCATTAGCAGAAGTGTAGACCAAATATTTTTAAGTAAGAGATTTGGTTTGGCTATGTTATCATAAGAATCCATTCCTTGGAAAAGGGACGTCATGCTTGGAAAAATTGAGAGTTGGTAAAGGAGAAGAAGACCCGATGAAATGAATTAGCACAGTGATTCCAACAGTAGTCTTAAGCACAACAGTCTGTAAAGATGGCACAGGCTTGGACAGGATGTCCAGTACTTATGCGTAGGAGCTGACTGCACACCACCACCAACTACCCGAGAACAGGAAAGGCCACATCTCACTCCACTAAGGCTGATGAAGCTCATTGTTATTAGCTGTCTGTGTTTCTGTTTAGTGGCTTGTATGACAAATGCCTAACCTGCTGTGAATTGTCTACTTTGAGTTTCTTGTGGTGGGGTCATTGTTTTCTTCATCTCAAATCATTATCTTGATTTAATTTTCATTGTCACTAAAAACAGGGACTGTGTATGACGTGTCCACTGCTTTATCCCCAGCACCCATAACAGGGTCTTCACGGAGTTGGTACTTAACACATGTCTGTGAAGGAAGAAAAGTAGAATTTTGTAGAGCTTAGTTGACACAGCATCCCTTAGAAGTATTTAAGTTTTAAAGATAGGTTGATCATTCGCAGAACTTATTGAAGTGACCTTGTAGACTGTAATCTTTTTCACTTTCTCCCTCATCCTCTTCTTTCATTTTGTTTTAATGGTTTGTTCACTTCCTTTGAAGCCTCACAGAAAGAAAAAGCCCTTTATAGAGAAGAAGAAGGCTGTGACTTTTCACTTGGTCCATCGGAGCCAAAGAGATCCGTTAGCTGCAGATGAGACTGCTCCTCAGAGGGTCCTGTTGCCGACACAGAAGGTGGGTGCCACTCAGTGTCACTAGCTGGTTTTGAAGGGGAAGAGGCCTGTTAGCACTTGTAATTCATGGTCAGGAGCATCTGTGCTCAAACACCTGCTTTTAGGGAGACTTAACATGCCTTCTTTTTTTTACATTTACTGATTTTTACATCAGGCATGCTTGTTTTGTCTGAGTGAAGAAAGCATCTTTACTTGACAAGTTTAAATTCTGAATTTGTAAAAATTCTTTTAATTGCTATTAGTCAGTGCCTCCATGTTTTGTATGCCTCCTGTTGTTTCCATAACATTATAAGAAGAGGTGCTAATTCCATTTTACTTCTTCCTCAAGGTAAATGATGAAGAAAGGCGAGCAGAACAGAGGAAGTATGGTGTGTTCTTTGATGATGACTATGACTACCTGCAGCACTTAAAAGAACCTTCTGGGCCCTCAGAGCTCATTCCCGCCAGCAGCTTCAGTGCACACAGCAGGAGAGAGGATGCGGAAGAAACACTGATTCCGGTAAGATCTTTCTGCCATTTAAGCATGATAAAGTGTTGGGGAGAAAGATGAATGAAATTTTTAAATCAAGATATAACACCTTGGTTTTTATGTGCTGAGAGTAGGTTATCTGTATGTGTTTTGAGTCAGAGTTTACAAAGCTAATTGGTTTCCCATCCAATCTTTCATATACTTTTTTTTAAAAAAGGATTTATTATAATACCTGGTGTAATTACATTTCCCACTTCCTCCTTGTAATTGTCATTTCCATTAATCCTTCTGTCCTTCCCTGGGAACCAGCTTGTAGGTTTTGTCCTTGGATAGTTTGTTTCTAAGCATTTTGGCCAAGAATGTGACAGCATGAAGGACACAAAGCTAGCCATGGTTCCACTTAATATATATATATATTAAAATGGGTGTGTGTGTGTGTGTGTGTGTGCGGGCGCTGCTCCTGTGCTATCAGGAGAAAGAGCACCACCTGTTTTCTGGTGTCAAGTGTCAAAAATAAAAGCCTTTTGACAGGTTTAGAACTTTATATTAATAGATAGGGTTATATTAAGCAGCCTTTTTCGGTAGAAAAGCAGCTGAAAATATTAACCTTTGTGAATGTTCAGATCTTTAACACCTGTGTAAAAGCTGCAGCTGAACCGTGAGAACAGGTGAAATGGACAGCAATAAAATACGTGCTGCTCTTTTCACACAAATACAGTCTGGAGTGCCATTGATTTAAGTTCTGTTTCTTCTATTTTATTACACCTGCCTATGTTGTGTGCCTTGGTTTTCTTCTTTTTCATTCTGTATAGATTTTCTTACTGGAAATTTGCATTGCACTACACACAGTACTTGTTACAGGATAGTTTCTGTACTTATTAAAGGTGTTAGTGTACCATTGAGTCAGAACTGACTTGTAACTGAACCTCCAGCAGGTTTTCAGAGACAATTAATTGCATGGGAGAAGAGTGCCCATCTTTCTCGCAGCGAGCAACTAGTAGATTCAAACCTTGTGTCTTTGTATTGGCCGCCCTACTTCTTACCTCTCTACAGCAAGATATATGGTTCAGTGGACTCGTCCTTGTTACCAGACACTTGAACAACAACAACAAAAAAAAGATAAAGGCTAATTGGATGTGTGAACAGAAGGGGAAAAGTAAAAGGGCACCAGCCTCCCCGTCTCCTTTCTTATTCCCAGATTCTGTTTGGCTAAACATAGTCTTCCTTTGGAAAGAAGTGGTAATAGTTCTTCAGGTTACCTTGATTAAGGTTTGGTCTCAGGGTGTCCTCCCAAAGAAAAGCACCATCATAGTCACTGCTGCTCCCTCACCTAGCTTCTGCTTCTCTTGTAGTGTTCCAGCCTTCCCTACTACCACTTGTCATCTACAACCAGCTTCCCCTGCTTCTCCTCCTGCAGGCCCCTGGCATCGGTAGTAGGGTGCTTGCTTCTCGCTGGTTAACTTCTGAAGCCTATTGAGGGAAGGGGGAATGGGGTCTAGCCTTGGCTTAACTTCTTTATTTTACTTAGGAAGGAACGTTTTAATAAAGTCAGAAGAACCTCTGGCTTGTTAGTATTAACCAGTATAAGTCTAGCTTCAGCTTATTTTGCGCAAAAATGAGGATGGCATAGGATAAGGCAGGGCTCAGGTCGGGTGTTTATAGGGTTGCTGTGTGTCGCACTTGATGGCACCTAACAACAGAAAGCTGCTCTAGGGGAGCACTGATGGCTTAGTGGCAAGATCTTGTGCTACCAACCCAAAGGCACATGGTTCAGATCTACTAGTTGCTCCTCATAAGAAAGATAGGCAGTTTCCTCCCATGCGATTTACTGCCCCTGAAAACTCAATGGAAAACCAGCTATTAGTTGGTTCCCACTCAACGGTGCTTAACAACAGACTGTACTGAAGGAGGCTCTGATGGCATAGTCCATGGCGTGCTGTGCTGCTGACCCAAAGGTCATGCCTTTCTGGTGGTTCGAGTCCACCATCAGCTCTAAGGGAGAAAGCTGGGCAGTGTCCTGTTGTGTGGGATACAGCCTTGGCAGCCTGTTGGAGGGCCAGCTGTGAGATGGTTCTGGCTCAACAGCAATATGAGAGAAAAACTGTACTCATATATCTGCTGCTTTGGTTAATTTTCAGAGTTTAAAAAAATATTTACAAAGGTAAACTCACTACTGTGACAGGTGGTAGGAAACAGGAGTGGCATCCACTTCCTAAATAACGTGCCTCTGGAACCTCTTTGAACTTCGATAAATGTTGATGGTTGTAGAGGGGCTTCAGACCTTTTGTTCATAGGGTTGCTAGGAGTCGTGCTTTACTCGAGGGCAATCAACAACAACAGACTCACTAAATACAAGTGGATACTCCTTTTCTTAAACTTAAATTTCAAGGTTAGATAGTCACCGAGAACCTTAAAAAAGCATAGACCCCATAGAAGAAAAGTCAAATCTTTACCCATGTTTAGGCTACCAAGAAACTTGCTTCGGAAGCAGTGGCTGCTTGATGCATGCGTAGAACCTTTACTGATCCTGTAAGTGAACAGTTGCGAGCTTACATCCAGGTTTGGGTCTGCAGCTGCCTGAGAAGGGATTGGCTGGTGAGGTACCCAGAAACCAAGAACTCCTGGTTATTACCTTCCATTGTTACTTTTTAGTTGAAAGGGAACTGAAGTGTGCAGGCCCATCAGACCATACGTGCTAGCACATACTAAAGTAGATGATATAGTGTGGCCAATGAGGATTTCATGCCCAGGAAAATTATACAACAGCTGTCTTGAAGGACCTCATGTGGGCAGGGGTACCTAAGCTGCCAGTAGAGTGGGTCCTAACAGGGAAGAGGAATATTTCCATCAAAAGAATGGCTTTAGAAGTAGAATTGTTAGTACTGGAGCCTTCACGGTGTCCAGCACACAGACTCAGTAAAGAATTTTTGCATTATTACATGACAGTGAGGAACTGGACTTGAAGTGCCTGGAGGTGATACATTGATAGCAAGAACATTAGATAGAGTAGACCTTGACTGTACAGGTCCTTGAGAGTCAGGAGTTTAAATCTGGGGTAAAAGAGCAAGAACTGTTTTCAGTTTAGGAAAGTCACATACTACAAAATATTAAGTTTAATCTGGCAGTGGTATGTAGATTGGATTCAGTGATGTGCACTAGCTAAGTAAGCAGCTGTTGCAATAATCTATGTCTTGGCTGACCATGATTTGGATGATGGTACCCAAGGGAATGGAGTGAAATCAGTGTATACCAGAGTTCATAGAGGCTTAAGAAGGGAGAGGAATGATTTATGTCCACTCTAGGATTTAAGATAACTTACACAAAAAAGTTTATGTCATTGTTAGAGATTACATTATCTCTGGTGGTTGTGTATTAAGTTGGATTTCTGAAAAAGATTAAGCCCTGTTTGGAATACGGCCTTCAGAGATGATGTCAGTTAGGTTAACAAGAGGCTCATGCTGGAGGTTGGGCCCTAATTCTATATGACTGGTATTCATATGAAAGATTCCAGGAGACAACATCTTGTGATGCTGGAGCTGTGGAAGCTAGGAGAGAGATGTACCAGATTCTCCCTCAAAACGTCAGAGTGAATCAATACAGCAGATCGTTGCTCTTGGATTCTCAGCCTCCTTCACAGTGAGACAGTCAATTTCTGATCTACAAGCTGCTCAGGTTTTGAGACTGTTACAGTAGCCTAGAAAATGAAAACACTAGTGAAAGAGGGACAAGATTTTGTTTTGATATCTGAACTACAGAGTGGTGGAGTCACAAGACCATGGTTTGAACCCTGGAACTTTCACTAATGACCTTTCTCAGGGCAACAAGCCCTTCCTATTTTCTGCTATGTCACTAAAATGTTGTGTTACCCCACAACACAAGGTTGTAGGATTAAATGGAATCATGTAGTGGGAAAAGCTTTGAGCTACTAGGAGGAGTTTGCTTTTGAGGTGAATATGGAATATACTTGTTTGAAATATGTTAACGTGAGTTCATGTGAAAAAACCAAGGGTAATGTTATGCATTATGTTTCCTGGGCCTGCCTTCCACAAATTTCCACAAACTGGTTGACTTAAAACAGCAGTTAGTCTCACTGCTCCAAAAGGCAGAGTTCCAAAATCAAGTGTCAGCTGGATTGGTTCCTTCTTGCTATTCAGAGTGCCTGTCTCCTTGCATCTGGCATTCATTGGCATTCCTTGGCTTGGAGATGCATCACTCCGGCCTCTTGCCTCCACATTCACATAGAATTCTGTCCCGGTGTCTCTCCGTGACCTGATTACAGGGACACCAGTCCCTGGACTAGGGAGCGGCCCTGCATCAGTCAGACCACCTCTTAACTACATCTGTAAAGACCCTGTTTCCAAATAAGGGCACATTGTAAGGTTACAGATGGACATGAATTTTGTTGGGGATACTGTTTAACGAAATGTAGGAACTCAGAAACGTGTCTACACTTAATCACTGTGTGTGATTTCTTTTTCAAGAGTACTGGAATTAAGTTGCCATCATCCGTGTTCGCGTCAGACTTTGAGGAAGATGTTGGATTGTTAAATAAAGCAGCTCCTGTTTCAGGTATGTTTTTGTTACTTTCATTTTTTCCAGCGGGTAGAGCTGTGCTGAAAAATAATGTAGTCCTTGACCTCAAGAAATTTGCCATCAGTTGAGTAGGATAGACAGTAGATAGAAAACTTTGATGAAGATACAGATAGACAAGTACTGGGCCTGCAAGGGCCCCCGACTCCTGTCTTAGGGAGTTGAGTAAAGCTTACTAGATCATGTCTGTGTTGTGTCTTAAGCAGAAGTAGACTGGTAGGAAGAGAGTGGTGGGGAGAAAAAGACATTCCAGATAGGAAACTGCAAAAGCAAGAGGGAATTGAAGCTGTGCTGCAATCCCAAAGGCACATTGTTTGAATCCACCAAGTGCTCCATGGAAGAATAATGACCATTCTCTTCCCATGTGATCTGCTGCCTCTGAAAACCCATTGGACAGTCAGCTGTGAATCGGTTCCTACTCAGTGGTACACAGTAACAACAACATACACATTTTAGCATGCACTAAGAGCTCTGGGGGGTGGAGCTCCCCGATTAAACAAGCTTGGAAGGAGGAATGGCATCCACTTCCGTAATAGCTTGCCTCTGGAACCCTATGAACCTGGAGAGAGGATGAGAGACACCCAAGCGTTGAGGTCGCTGTGAGTCGCCTGCAACTCCACGGCACTCAACAACAACAACAACAAGAGCTCTGGCGACCTAGTGATAGGAGTTGTGCTCCCAAGCCAAAGGCAGGGAGTTCAAATCCACCAGCTGCTCCAGCGGAAAATGAAGAGCACTCTCCAGCTATGTGATTATAGCCTCTGTAAACCCTCTGGAGGGTCAGCTATGAGTTGGTTCTGACCTGGTGGAAAGGCACATCACAAAAGCAGAGGTAGAATTTAGAAAGAATTGGCTAGAGAGTAAAGCAGTAATGATTTGTGAAGATCCGTAGGAGCTCTGCCAAAATGCTGGAGAATCATATCTGGGATTTATGAAAATATAGTTTGAAATAAGACTGAAAATTTAACAATATGCAAATATTTTAGTGACTCTTAAAGGTGAATTTAAAGCTCAAAGTTCCTTCATGTTGTTGAAAGCATTGATAATTGGTAAATAGACAAAATACAGTATTGCAGATCTGTAATGTTCTTGTCAGTGGTACTGAAAAAGGAAGTGTGTTTATTTATATTTGCTTTGTTGTTGTCCATCTTCCTGCCTAGTCTCCTAAACTAAACTTCATAATCTTCATAGAACTAAAGTTCATAATCATTCTTTTATTTTAGGACATAGCTGGAACATAGCATGTTACAGATTTTCAGATTATGTTTGCTGAGTAAATAAATCATGCTCAGTTTTGTTTTCTCTCTAGGACCCAGACTGGATTTTGATCCTGACATTGTCGCAGCTCTTGATGATGATTTTGACTTTGATAATCCGGATAATCAGCTTGAAGATGATTTTATTCTTAAGGCCAATGGGCCTGCAGGCGGAGCGGAAGGAGTAGTTGGTACACAGTATGTGTGATTTGTTTAGAAGCTAACTCGCTTCTTTTGGGGTGTTAATCATAGAGTATTGTAATTGGAAGAGACCTTCAGAAACATTTCAACTGACAACTTCATTTTAGAGTAGGAAATGTGAGACAAAAGGCTCTCTTTATAAGCTATTGAGAGATGGATTAACATCTTGTCTCCTAATTACTAGTTTATTGCTTTTCTGCTTTACTGGACTAGTTAAACCATTTTGTTATTCCTGCCTACATAACCTCCTTCAATACCCTCCAACTTTACTTGGGTTAGTTACATGGTATTTGATTTGTTGTTCTGGTTGTTTTTACCAATTTCCTGCTCTTTGTGACTTTAGTAAATGTGAGGCTGAAGATGACAGCGAATGGGAAGATATGGATGAAGAGAAGAACTCTGGTAGCGGCAGTGTGGACTATGACTCAGAAGACCTGCTGTCAGATGAAGATGATAGTTTTGTCCCAGGCAGACCTCATAGAGCTGAAGAAAACTACTTGTTCTGGGAAGAGGAAACAAAAAGTCGCTTCACTGAGTATTCCATGACTTCCTCGGTCATGAGGAGAAATGAGCAGCTGACCCTGCACGATGACAGGTTTGAGAAGGTAAAAACTCAAAATGGAGACCATTTCACACTGAATCTGAGTAGATTTTTAATATGTGCTTGGGACCCAAACCAGAAACTTCCAGTATTGGAGCAGCCTGGGTTTTCATAAAACTACCCTAGCTTAACGGAACTCTGGTGAATTAGTGGTAAAGAACTGTGCTGCCAGCCCAAAAATAGGTTGTTCGAATCCACCAGTAGTTCCGTGGGAGAAAAGTGGCCAGTCCTCCATGTGATTAACTGCCTCTGAAAACCCACTGGAGAGTCTAACTGGACGGTAAATAACCACCACCTTCCCCCCAGCTTTAATTCTAGAAGGGACGTGTGTGCATGGGCTGAAAGAGTTGCGATCCAAACATTCCAACTTTCCTCTTAAGAGTCCTGACATATTAATTCTGAACCGCTGCAGACCAGGGCTTCATAGGGTTCTTGGTGCAGTCCTAGCTGAGAAAGCAAAACCAGGATGAACTCATATTTGTATAATGGGGAAAACGTCCTCCTTAAAAAAAATGAGGGCAAGGTATGCATTGCAGAGCAGCCAAATCTCTTGACGGACTGAGTCAAACAGCGGGGCCCATCTCAAAGATGGTGGCAGACGTGTGTCCCTGTCCACAGTCCTGGCAGTAATCCAGCCTCCCACAGCAGGCTTCTGGATGGGTTCACTATGCCTCTTTAAGTCTTCACTGATGTCTAAAGTTCTAAAATGTATCTGACAAAAAGTAGGAATTCAAACCGTTCAGTAAGTGATGAACAGAATTTTCTTTTTCTCCCTGAAAGGGACAGATAACTTTTTCATTTACTGTTTACTTTTATGTTGATGTTTTTATTTGCCATCAAGTTGGAACCAACTTAGAGCTGACCCTCCAGTCGGTTTCAGAGACTACAAATTACACAGAAAGAGGTTGCCTATCTTTCTCTCTTGGAGTGGCTGGTGGAATAGAACCAACTGCTTTTGAGTTGACAGTGCAACTCCTTACCCACTAGGCCACCAGAACTCCCTGTTTAAAGTATCAAATACCTTAAAAAAATTATTAACTTTAATGAACATTTACAGAGATTTTGGATTTTCATTCATTCATTGTTACACTTTTTTCTCTACCCCCCTTTTTACATACAAATAAATAATCTCACTCTTCAGAAGATACACCACTCGTGTTACTTTTTATAAGTCTATCGATTTTGGCAGATTTTGAATTGTATAATAAACATCTGAAAAAGAACTAAACTTCCTCATTGACAGAAGGAGGCTATTGAGTTAGAGTATTTCTTAGTTGGTATAACCAAAGAATTTTATTGTGAAGAAATGTTCTACTGAGATAAAAATCTCTTAACACTGTTCTCCATGGCGAACAGAATAACTGCCTCTCATATTTGTGTTTTCACTTTTATCTCCCTGGAAATGGAAAAGCTCATTAACAACAACCCCTTCCTTTCATCTCCCCCATCTCCTTGTTAGTTTCCTATTTTCATTATATGCAAAAGATAGTGTTGCTCGGTGTTCAGTCGCTGCTACTGTGTTAAGGTAGCTGGGATCATAAGATAACTCAGCAAGTTGTTGCCCTCAGATTATTTCGGAGTCTGGCAAACCCCACTGGTTTCCGACAGGACTTCATAGCAGGTCCTATTTCTGCCTCCGATGGACAGCCTCCTCCAGTGCAGTTTACTGCCTCTGAAAACCCACTGGAGGGTCAGCTGTGGGTCAGTTCCAGCGCAACAGCACATGACAACCGCCACCTCAGACATGGGGCTCTGGTGGCATACATAGTCGTCCATGGTATGTTTTGCTGCTAATGAAAGATTTTTTTGTCTCCAGCAGTTCAAATCGACCAGCAACTGCTCAGGAGATGGCTGGCAGTGCCCTCCTGTTAAGATTTACAGCGTCCTAAGAAACGTGATAGAGGGCCCTTATGAGTTGAAATTGACTTATTGGCAGGGAGTTTGAGGTTTTGATCCCACATATAGTGATTGAAAGTCCTATTTTAACATGATTGTAAGAATCACCCAGGGATTTAAAATGTAAGTTCTAATTTAGTCAGTCTGGTGGGGGAGTATGGGAAGGCTTGTTCCGAGCAGAGTCTTGAACTCGGAGACCTGGTTTCCATAGGCTGTAATCTCAGTGACTGTAATCGTAACAGAAGTAGAGTACTACACCCTCCCCTGCTTTATCCCCTAGTGGTAGTGCAGTTAATAGTTTTATACAAACTTGTGATACAGTGATAGTGCTTAAGTCTCATGTGGGAGTAAAATTAACGTAAAAATAGCATTTGGATGCTGTGCTCTTAGTGAATGCTTTTCATCATCACGGTGCCTTTTCTCTTTCAGTTCTATGAGCAGTATGATGATGATGAGATTGGAGCTTTGGATAATGTTGAACTGGAAGGTTCCATTCAAGTGGACAGCAGTCGGTTACAGGAGCTTTTGAATGACTACTATAAGGAGAAGGCAGAGGAGTAAGATGGCTTTTCCTGCTTTGGGTGGTTTATTAACATCAGGCCTGTAGTTCAGTGATGGTGGTGGTGGTTGTTACGTGCCATCGAGTCGCTTGCGACTTATAGCGACCCTAGGTACAAGAGCCCTAAATGCCGTTCTATCCTGTGCCAACCTTGCTGTCTCAGACACACTCATTCCCACCACTCCACTCAACATGCCCAAAGTATGTCAGACGAAGCTTCAGAATCCTTGACTCCAGGGAACATTCTGGCTTCACCCTCTCCAGGACAAACCTGTTTGTTCTTCTAGCTTCATTCAACCTCTCCAGGACAAGCCTGTTTGTTCTCCTAGCAGTCCATGGTATATTCAACACTCTTCTCCAGCACCACAACTCAAAGGCATCAGTTCTCTCTGTATCATCCTTATTCACTGTCCAACTCTCTGATGCATAGCACGTAATTGCAAAGACTGTAGCCTGGATCAGGCGCACCTTAGTCTCCAGCCTGATGCCATTGCTCTTCAGTACTCTTGAGAGGTCCCTCACAGCTGACTTTGCCAATGCAATTTGTCTCCTGATTTCCTGCCTGCTGTTACCAATAGTGTTGACTGTGGAGCCAAGTAAACTAAAATTGTTAACTATCTCAATCTTCACCATCCAAACTGATACTGCCAATTGGCCCAGTGGTGAGAATCTTTGTTTTCTTGATGTTGAGTTTCAGTCCATACTGAAGACTGCAGTCCTTGACCTTCTGCAGGAAGCACTTCAGATCCTCCTCAGTTTCAGCAAGCAGGGTTGTGTGTCATCCGCATAACGCAGGTTGTTGATGATTCTTCCACCAATCTTGATGTAGCTGGAGTCAAAAGAAATTCCTAGTTAGAATTTATATTTAGAAAATAGTGCCTTTAAAAAAAAAATTGTATTGGTTTCCATACAAATTCTTATACCTTGGATTTCACACTTCCCTTCATTCCCCGTATATTTCATTCAATCCTTCCCATAAATTGTGTTTTATAAAGTTAATCACCATTCACCTGTGCTTAATATTACCCTGTCTATTCAGGTCAGAATGGTGCCTTTTTTTTTAATAAACTTTGACTCGTGGCTCATTGTGTCTACTCACACATTAGTATTAAAGAATCTGAAGCTAACTAGGACAGTGCATTGGGAACATACCGAGAATTCCTTTCCCGGTAACTCTGACCTGAGAAGGGCCTGTGGGTTAGTAGAAGTTTGAGGATACATTCCAGTTGGAGAAATAAGGTGATGCTTCTGGCTGCCTGTCAGAGCCAGGACTCCATTGTCATCTGTAGCCCCCCTGACCACATTATCAGTGGTAATTGATATATGCGTTCTCTTTCCTTCGTTAAGTACCATGTGGTCTCAAAATGAGGGTGGGGTGGGGTTAGAAGGGTTTGGTTTACAGAAACACAAGAATCTCCATAAATCTGCCATAAAGGACTAGTGTCATCTATTCATTAGTCTGTGGGCCCCCACAGTAGAACAGACTACGTGCTTTGAGCATTTAATAGCTTCATGCTGTTGAATACTTTGAAGAAGTAGATGGGCATAAGCTTTTAAGTTTTTTAATAAAAGTTATGCTTTCTTAGGAAAGCTTTGGTCTGTTTTCTCGGAAAAGCTACCATTTTGTTTAATGTCCCTTGCAGAGGTACAAGCAGATTTCCCCTGCCAGTCAGCTGAATGAATACCCAAAACACACTGGAGGGGAGAGGCAGGGCTAGGTGGCGCTTTAGTACGAAGTGACCGGGGCACATGATTGGGTTTTTTAAAATGCTGCTGTTCTTAGCTCTTTATTGTTTAATTACATGCAATATAAAAATGAATGTTTTGGTTTGGTTTTCTTTCTCCTGTATCTTGATTTTTAAAAACTCAAAAGTTGTGTAAAACTGAATACTCTGGAACCCTTTGAAGACCACAACCTGCTAATGAATGAGATCAGTGAGTCTGAGGAAGAAGAGATTGTCACCGTAGTTCTTGAGGAAGTCAAGGAGAAGTGGGACTGTGAATCTATCTGTAGTAAGTATCTTCGTGCCTATTTTACTGTTAAAGGTAGCATGGGACTATTGGAGTATTTGTGGTTTAAAAATGTGTACACAGCAAAAAACTTTTTCTGTACAATCCCATGACATTGTTCACATGATGTCATCTTCCTTGCTATCTGTCCAGGTGATTTCACCACCACTGGCCTAGACTCAGTGGCCTCATGAATGAACTCTATGCTTCAGGGTTACTCTTGTCAGTTTGATCTAATACAGATAATTCTTTAAAAGCTGTAATGCTCAAGGCCAGCATTTTTTTCACTAATTGAGCTAAGCTCTTGTTTGGTTTAAAGATAACTTAAGGGGAGAGTTTCAGTTCAAGGTTTAAAGTTTATCTCAAGGCCATAGATTGAGGACTTCTCTGGTTTCAATGGGCCCATAAGTCTGGATGTATGATAATAATTTTGAAGTATTAAGTATGTCAGCTTTCTTTAAAATGCATGTATTTTTAACAGATAAGGCCTTTAGAGAACTTGTGAAAATGCTTTGGGAGAGTTGTCTTATTACTGACTTGTACATCATTTAAGACCTTTTTTTTTTAAAATTGAGGAAGTTCACCACTATTGTTGAACTATGAAACAAGTTTGGGTGTTTTTTTTTTCTTTGAGCATAAGTGAATTTTGATTCTCTTGTTTATTTGGTGGGTTTTCATAAAGTTTGTTTTTCTTCCTACATCGTTGTTTGGCTGTTAGCTTCAGAGTAAGCATTGTCTCCTTGCAGACTCTTAAGTCTTTGATTGTAAAAGTTCTTACTCCGCCATTCTTGTATTGTGTTCCCAGGGAGCTTGAGGTCAGGACTTCAGAAATAACCTTGCTGAACTGAAAATATACTTGTGCATAATGTTGATATATTACGGTTTTGGTTTTTTTAGGCACATACTCTAATTTATACAACCATCCACAGCTTATCAAAGATCAACCTAAGGTAAGTGCTAGTGTCCTGAGCTATCAGAAATGTCCATTGTTGGAAAAGAAATGTACATATTTCTCTCTCCCATCATCCCTTTGTGGCTAGTGACACCATTAGCAAAAGCTAGTGCGCTGTGTCACTAGTGCACTATTTGTTAATTGGAATGAGTAACTCAATACCTTTTATCTTTATTTCAGCCCAAACAAATCCAGTTATCTTCTAAAACAGGAATACCTCTCAATGTCTTACCTAAGAAAGGGCTCACAGCAAAGCAAGTGGAGCGAATGCAGATGATTAATGGCAGTGATCTGCCTAAGGTGTCAACCCAGCCGCGTTCTAGAAATGAAAGCAAGGACGATAAAAGAGCAAGGAAGCAAGCTATAAAAGAAGAGCGCAAGGTGAGTGCATCAACCTCAGCTGTGTGCCTTAGAGCAGGCAGCGGAGGATTAACGGGAATTGGTGTGTGTAAAAATCCATCTGAAGATGTGACTGATGTGGGTGTGCTCCTGTCCAGGAACGGCGCATGGAGAAGAAAGCCAACAAGCTAGCCTTCAAACTGGAAAAACGAAGACAGGAAAAGGAGCTGCAGAACTTGAAGAGGAATGTCGAGGGTCTAAAGCTGTGACACTGGAACACTTAGAATAATACGCTTTCCATCAGGGGCTCCTCTGGGTGGTCATTAATGTCTTCAAAGAGACAAAACTGTTTGCCATTTTCACTGGCAGATCCTGAAAGAGAACTGAAATACCTGAATTATTTTTTCTACCAACGTATTTGGTAACCATTTGTAAATACTGTCAGAGTTTCATAATTTAATTATTATAAACAGATTTGCTTTAAAAGAAATCTATGGTGTTGGTGTATTTTAGATGCTCTTCTCAATTTTGTTTGGATGATTTTTTGGAGCAGGTGTTCTGAAATATTTCTTTGAAATAACTTCTCCCCTTTTCAGGAATTGAGTGGGCTTGCTTGCTATATCTAGGAAAGAGGCCTGTTGAACTAAACACAGTTTTGATATCTGTGTTTATTCTGTTGCGTGGTACAAGCTTTCCTAAAAAGGCATCCCTCTTAGAAACCTGTTTCCCTTGCCATACACAAAGGCTATTTCACAGTGATGTTAAAAATGAATATTAACATGCTTAGAATGCAGGTTTTCTACTCTATCACTAGCTGGTTAGCTAGCTGGTTATCACTAGAAAGTTTGTCTTTCAAACATTACTTAATACTTGGAGCTACTTCCTATTTTATGGAAATGTATCATTAAAAACATTGCCTGTAGGGAGCTCTAGTGGCAAGAAGCTGCACTGCAATCCCAGAGGTAAGCAGTTCGAATCCTCCAGATGCTCTGCTGGAGAAGGAGGGGCAATCTCCTCCTGTACCAGTCAGGTCCGATCTGACAGTACACACAAAAAATAATAATAAAAATTTTAAAAGAACAACATTGCCTGTGTTTTTGATGGGTTTCTTTAAGTGTAGTGGTGGCATCACAATTGTTAATTGTTTGGTTGACTGTCATTTCTTTACACCAGACAAGAATGTGTTGGTAGCCCTGATTGATGATTTATGACTGACTAGTATGTTACCTTGTGTGAAAATCTGAACACTGTTGGTTTGACTTAGGAACAGAATGGCTGGGACAGAACCATACTCAGCAGGTGAGCAGCAGCTAGAACAGAAATGATTAGAGAGTGTCTGCATCTGTAATTTTATTTTAACTTCCACAGCTCAATAGGTGTTCTAAGTAAATTATTTTAGAATTTTTCAAAGAATGTTCTGAATTATTAAAGTTAAGTATTTTGTAAACACTGATTTCTTTTTAAAAGACAAAACAAACAGGCTCTGGCTAAAGAAATTGTGATTAGCAGGTAGAAGAATGGCAATATCTATATATATCTATATATCTATATATCTCTAAATGGCAACTTATATATATATATAGAGAGAGAGAGAGAGAGATCTCTAAACGGCAACTTCTAGAACCAAAGGTCAGATGCTGGTTTACTTCTGTATTGGGCTTATACTGAGTCCTACAAGGATTGACCTTTTTATTCGGTGACTGTCTCATAGAAATGTGTCTGTCTTGTCTTGGTGCCATTTAGTTTCCTTCTTAGTATGTTCCGGTTTCAGTACAGCTGACCGTAGCATGCATTAGCACATTAGATATTTTGCAGGTAAGGGAATGTAGCTGTAAACCACATAAATCCTATTAAGAAACCATGTTAGATACAGGCAGATACAATCCAAAGATTTTTTTTTTAAAACAAATCTTTTTTTATTCTGGAGGCCAAAATGCTCTCCTAATTTGTTAAATAAGTTAGCTGACAGATACTTAGGAAGATGGTTAAAAGTAAGCTCCCATTTTAAATGTTAGGACCTTAAACAGAAAAGAGCAGGAGACGACATGTGTGCAGGGGGGTATAACTAGGGATACCTTGTGTCACTCGTAATGGGATGTCAGCAATTGCTATTCCCTCTGCTCAGCTGCTCTCGCTCCCTCAGGGTGCCACTCAGTTTGGTAACTTCCTATAAACTTTCCTGATCGTCTGTTGAAAAAGAGCATATGCCTCTTTCCTATACATTCTTGTGTCCTTCTCCCCTGAATTCTTATCCCAACACCACCTATCAGATGCTAACAAGCATCTTACTCGTTTCTTAGAATCCTTGTTAGCTGTTGTGTGGAAGCTTCTTACTACTTTATCGGTGTGGTACAGGACAGAAGCTAGTATGTGGTGTCCCATCACTAAATAGTATGTGAGTGGGTAGGTAGATGGGAAAGACTTCTTAGAATTCTTCAAACGCGGGAGGAGAGGACTTAAATTCTTGGTTAGGAGAAAGACGACCTGCGGGATCCCTGGTGGGTAACAAATTCATGAACAACTCGCCTGCTCTGATCAGTTTAAGCTCTGTACATGATTGTTTTAAAACCATTCTTCCGGTATTTTACTTATCAAACTGTGTCTTCAATAAGGGTCATTGTACTGGTTATGTGGCTGTGGTCCTACACTGTTCCCACACCTGCATTGTGATGTCACTAACTCAGGGGAAGGACAGAACTCTAGCCATCTCATAGATTTTTAATACTTCTATGTTGCTTCTTGGTGTGAATTAACATAACTCACTGTTATCACTGATTACTGAGAAGATTCTTTCAGAAGCTGAACTCATGAAGAATGGAGCATCAAGACTGAAGGAAGATTCATCACCAACTTTCGGTATGTCTATGAGAACAACCTTGCTTGCTGAAAGTGAGGAGGACTTGAAGCGCTGCAGATCAAACGTTGCAGCCTTCACTATGGATTGCATCTCAGCATCAAGAAAAAACGTCTCCACTGGACTGATAGCATAATGATAGATGGACTAAAAGATTGAGACTGTCAAAGACTTCATTTTACTTAAATCCACAATCGGTACACTTGATGCCAGCAGTCAGGAGATCAGGAGACATTTGCACTGGGAAAGTGCAGTCAAGGATCTCCCCAGATTACTAAGGAGCAATGAGATGTTAGTTTGAGGGCTAAGGTTTGCCTGACTTCAGAACGTGGTCTTTTTCAATCACTTGCTGTGCTGCTGAGAACTGAATAATGGATAAGGATAACAGCAGAACTGATGCCTTTGAACTGTGGTTAGAGAAGAGTACTGAATATCCCATGGACTGCCAAGAGAACAAACATGTCTTAGAGAAAGCACAGCTGGACTGCTCCTTAGAGGCTAGGATGGCAGAGCTTCGTCTCGCATACTTTGGGCCTGTTGCTAAGAGAGGCTGTTGCTTGGCAGACATCATACTTGGAAAGGTGGAGGGAGGGTGAAGGACAGGAAGGTCCTCAACTGGGTGTATTGACACATGACTGCAGCAGTTGACTCAAGTGTGTCAGAGATGATGAGGATGGCACAGGTTAGGACAGGGTTCAGGTCTGTTCATAGGGTTGATCTGTCTTGTACTTGGGGCACCTAATATCAATGACTCACTGCCATCAAGCTGGAAACTTCCAGTGGGTTTTTGAAGGCTCTGCATCCCATAGGAGAAGATTGCCCATCTTTCTCCCTCAGAGAGCTGGATCCTGTCAAGCAACACTTTGCAGTTGGGTTGCTCTTGGTGATGCTGCTATCAGGTTGAGTGTGACTCACGGCAACCCTGTGGACAATAGATCTGAGCTCTGACATATTCTGGGCCATCCTCATCTCTGACGTACTTGAGCCTCTTGTCATTGTGTCCGTCCATCTTCTTGTTGGTCGTCTTCACTGACCCTCCGCCTCCCTGAGGATGATGTCCCTTTCCAAGGAATAGCCTCTCCTAACAAGCCCAAAGTATGTGAGATGAAGCGTCACCATCCTTATTTCCAAGGAGCATTCTGGCTGCACTTTCTCCAAAACATGCCTCTTTCCGGCATGGGATATTCAGTGTCCTCCAATACAATAACTTAAATGTATCATTCTTGTCATTCTTAATCATTGTCTAGTTCTCAGATGCTTAGCAAGTGACTGGAAAGACCATGGCTGGAGTCAGACATCAGTCTTGACACTGACATCATTGCTCCTTAGTAGCTTAGAGAGGTCCATGAGTTAACAAGTTTGTTGCAGTCATACAAGGTCAAAGAGGGAGAAAGTTTGTGATGCTTTTACATTTCAATTGTGAAACTATTAAGTATGCACCACTCAAGCTAGGAAATAGAACAGAAGACACTTAGAACGCCAACCACCAGTTCCCTCCTGCTCAGATAACTCTTCTATCCAGGCTCTCAAAATCTCCTTTGATTCCTTAGTCACCTAAACACATTATCTTAGTTTTGAACTGCGAAACAAGCACAAACCCAGCTCTCAGGGGACATTTGCTACCATTAGATAAAAGGTGTCCAGAGGAAGATAAGCTGAGTAGTCTGGGGCATAGTCCAGCTTGAGCTGCACAAGAGACTGATGTGAAGATGTCAGCCACCAACGTGGTAAGTGAGTTTATAATTAAACAGGAAAGCAACTGTTTCATAATTACCACATTATTGTTCTGTACCATCGAGTCATGTACAACTCATAGTGACCCTTTGAACAGCAGATATGAACCCAGTCCTGTCCTGTGCCAACCTCCCAGTCTGACACACTTGAGCCCTTTGGGGCAGTAACTGTGTCCATTCATCTGGATGAGGTTCTTCTCTCCTTTGCCATCACTCCACCATTCCAAGTATTGTGTCCCTCTCCGAGGAATAGCCTCTCCTACCAACATACCCAAAATAGTGAGATGAAGCATAGTCGTCTTTACCTCAAAGGAGCACTCTGGCTGCACTTTCTCTAAGACATATCTGTTCTTTGGTCCACGAGATACTCCGTTCTCTTCGTCAACACTACAGTTGAAAGACATCAGTTCTTCTGTCATCCTTAGTCTTGCCCAGCTTTTAGATGCATAGCAAATTATTGAAGAGACTCTGGCTTGAATCAGGTATAAATCACTGCTCCTCAACACCTTGGAGAAGTCCTCGAAGGCAGATTTTCCGAATGCCACGTGACTGCTGGTACCAAGACTTTTAATTGTAGATCCAAGCAAGATGAAATCATTGACAATTTCAATCTTTTCTCCATGTATCATGATGTTACCTATTGATCCAGTGGTAAGGAATTTTATCTTCTTAATATTGATAT